CTATTGGAATATGTTGCACTTAAATAAAAATGTTGTCACATGGTGTTAAAAAAAATCCCACCACAGCACTGTCTTCATTCATTCATTACTTTGAGGAGCTGAAGCTGATGAGGTAATAATACAACTTTTTTGCTAAACTAAATAGTTCTAACTACTGATGAAGCTTAATATTGTTTTCAGAGTATGAAATGTGTGTAGTTTTAGTGAAATAAAATAACTGTAAATCAATAAAATGTGCATCATATAAATGTAAATGCAAGCGAATTAGTCAGGAAAACGTAAATTGTACTAGCTTTTTAGATATGATAGAGATATCTAGACATATTTATCTAGATATGATATAGCCAGTCACATCTGTTTCTGTAATAGTTAAATCACAGCGAGTTCATGCATCTAGCATATTATTTTATAGCTATACTCTACTGAAACATGCTATGTCAGTTAGCATCGAATTATAAATCGACTTAAAAACACATAAACCACTTATTGTCACGGTTGTGTAAATGATCAGTTAAAGCCATTTTATGTTTGTTCAGATCTTATTTTCATTCAGCTACAGCAATAGCGTGATGCCTTCATCCATATTAGGGATTTCCTGGAATGTTCAACTACTTTTGTGAGGCATATATGGAATTTCTGCTCAAGTATGAATGAAACAGGCATTACATTCATTTAAAGTGCTACAATGCCCACATCAACCTATTTTGTGGAAAACTATCATATTGGACTCATACTTAAATAAATCATATTTTCAGATTTGAAGACATGCAGAAAATTACGTTGTCAAAAAAACGGAAAAAAACAGAAACTGCAAATCAGGAGGAGATAGGAGGCTCAAGAGTTATGATATGGCTCATAACAGACTTGTAAATGAGAAGTGGGTTCATTTATCAATGTTTTTTTTTTCTTTTTTTACAAGTAACAAAGCTTCACAATTTGTTGTTAAAAGACTGTCAACTAAAAAAACGTTTATTTTTTATTAAACCATTTATGATCCTATTATTAAGATTAGAGTAGATCACCTTTTGAAAGTGGGGGTATATTGGCGGGGTGAATTAGAAAATGTTTTTTTTTAAGGACGTGTATTCCTTTCATCCCTCGCAACACCACCCCTGTCATAGGGTATGTATTCGTTTATGCAACATTGTGATGACCAATGTGCCCACATAGACAGAAATAATTTTTTAAAATGGTTTGGACTGGCCCTAAATTATATTTATCTGAAAGTCTAAAAATGTTTTGTTTAAGGGTAAGGTTTTAAATGTTTGGTTTACTTTATTATAAGGACATTAGAGTGTTGTGCTAGTCACACAAATCTATAGGCCAACAAATTGAAAAAAGAAAAGAAATACTGAGTAAAACAGATCACTTTTAAACCAGATTTCATTATGTTCATTAACACAGTTAGGTAGATTAGATCTAATTTAATTACCTTTCTTGGGACTCACCCACCATCTTGAATTAATCAATTCACTTATCATTGTGATTAGCATATCCGCACTGCCTTGGTCTTTTTGAAGACAGCATATGTTTTAGAACAGCTTCTGCGTCAATAGCATGTCTGTGATGTCTTAAAAATACCGTCTAGGTAGGCAGCACACTTCATTTAGAAGCAGAGCTACAGTCCTTCCCACTTCCCTCCTGCTCTTGAACCTGCAGCCTCATAAATCCTCATAAATATCAAGCAAAGTCTGAAAATATCTCCCATGCCTCTAAAGAGAGCAGGCACAGTTCAAAGACGAGATGAAAAGGCTAAGAGAAAAAGAGAGCGTGAGAGGGGGAGCAAGGGAAAAGAACATCAAGAAGGTGCTTCTTATGAAAGGTGAAGCGTTAAATGCCCTTAGGTATCGATTTTATATCACAGTCAGATCTTAGATAGCTTTAATGGATTCTTAAAATGCAGCGAAATCTTTCCCACAAAAGAAAGCCATTTGCTTTGAAAGCGGGGAGGGAGATGAGAGAGGGAGAGACGCTGCGCTCTGAGGCCAGCATAAAGGAATATGTCAGCTGTGAAATTCACGTCACGGCACCTTGAACTAGATGAACTGGCGAGACACGCAGGACAGAGAGAGAGAAGGGGCGGGTGGGGGTAGATGGTGGACCCCAAGGGCGGCAAAAGGCTTTTTGGAGTCTGCGAGTGGGAGAATATGAGAGAGTGAACTGACAAGATTGTCGTGACTGAAACCACAGACGCCCCCTGGAGAGACAGGCATGCGTGTCAACAGAATACTGGCCCAAATACTCTCTCGCTCTATCTCTCTCTGACTGACTGGAATGATTCACTCATCTCTCCCACACTCTCACGCAGGCTCATGTCACCTCTGCTGGATCTTATTTTGGTTCTGGATATTTATTCCTGTTCTCTTCTCTGACCTGGGTAAATTCTGGATGCCAGTCATTGGCTGCGCATCCAGTTACTCCAGTTGCTAATCCTGATGTTGGTCACGGTTGATGTGCGTCACCACAGTCTCACTTCTGCATGCTTCATTTATTAACCTGTCTCTCTGGGTGTCTGCTTGCATATTTATTTATTTGCATGTGATTTAAGTTACTGGTTTATCCTCTGCCATGTATATGAAAGTTATATAGAGTAGCTATGTGGTTGTTTTTGTTGTGTCTTCATTGTTAATTCATTGGTTAAAGAAGTGTTTGAATTGACAAACGTTTTTGCAGTTCAGTGTTTTACCTCGAGGGGTCAGTAAAAGTACAGTCATTTAACCCAAATAAATTATTTTGTTTCAATGCAGTTTATCAAGTGTTGTAGCCAAAGTTCATTACAAGACAGTCATGCCTAGTTAATATTAAAAGCTTCAATGATTACACTTTGCATAGCATATTTATTGTACAGCAAGTGGAACGTTGAATTGAACAGAGGTAGAACTCCTCATCCTTGATGCAAATAATATGTTTGAAACAGTATGTTTATATTTAGCTGTAGTAGGGGTTTAGTTGATTTCTACATACATATATTATTTACAGCTTACGTGTAAAATGTCACTTGACTGTAAATTGTACTTTTAAAACATTTGTTGTTAGATTTGCAGAACATTTTTCCTAAAAAAAAAAACTAATTCTTCTTTTTTAATTTAAACGGAATTTAAACGTGTGATGATAAACTGAACTTACAGTTTCCTTATACATTTGGAATTGATATTTAATAAAATTTCCAGAAGTGTTGGTACTGTACATTTAAAGCATTTTCATTAATTTTCCTAGAACTGGAATAATATAGGATAAATGTAAAAATTACAGTAAACTCAATCTGTTATTAACATAAAATAAGGAACATTTACTTTTTTTTTTACTAAATGTTCTTTAACTTCCTAAACTTTTTAAACAGATTTGGCAGTTTTTTTTTTTTTCACAGTTTGTGGTCAAGAAGCTGCAAGAAAGTGTGTTTTTACTAGAAAAGAAAATGGAAAAGGTGTGACATGTAAAAAGGTGTAGCATAACAGGGGGAAGGGAAAACTGTTGAAAAGGAATGTCAAAGGACATGTGAAGCAATTACACCTTCATATCTAAAACTACATATCTGTATTTCTTTAATGTATAATTGTTTTTAAAGAATGAATGAGAGATTCACTGAAATACATCTAATAAAATATATCAAACAATTAATCTACTAGGGCAACACGGTGGCTAAGTGGTTAGCAGTGTCGTCTCACAGCAAGAAGGTCGCTGGTTCCAGTCCCGACTGGGCCAGTGGGCATTTCTGTACAGAGTTTGCATGTTCTCCAGTTGTTGGCTCCGGGTGCTCTGGTTTCCCCCACAGTCAAAAGACAAGCGCTATAGCTAAATTGGCTGTTATGCAGGAGTGTGTCTGAATGCGAGAGTTTATAGGTGTTTCTCAGTACTGGGTTGCGCCTGGAAAAGCATCCGTTGTGTAAAACATATGAAGAGTTTAGATGCAAAAACCTCTAAGTGCCATCTAGAATTTTATGGCAAAGAAATAAACTTTTCTTTGCCATAAAAGTAAAATTACTGAATCAAGACATAGGAGCCTGAGAAAAATGGTTATATTAGAAGAAATTTTCAGATGCACAGAAGTTTTTCCATCTGAACTTTTCATATGCTGGAATAGTGGCAGTTCATTCTGCTCTGAGGACCCCTGATAAATAAAGGACTAGGCCAAAGGAAAATGAATGAATGAGTTAATCTACTACTGGTTTACCAAAAACATTTTGCACAAACTTTTAAGAGAAACAAATTAATAAATGTCTCAATGCCTTCCAGAATTTCTTGTCAAAGGAAGTGACATCACTTGGAGCAAGTCTTATGCTTTTTCTATCAGTGCTTTACAGAATGGAACAATGTTTTTATAACAGACGTAACCAGAATGTGACCAGAATGTAGGGACCGACACAAAATTCTTAGTTTTTCTTACTAAAATTGCAAATAAAATGTGTTTATACAACCTAATAAACACACAAGACGAAAAAGATGAAAATTCTACTTAATTATTTTAAGACAATTGAAGCTTAATGCATGATTTAGGAGGCAGAGAAAGGGCTTACTGAGAGGTATAGAATCTTAAAAAAGTTAAAACAGTTATAGTTTAAAAAAAAAAGAAAACTTGATACAATTTGAATTACTCAAAACCTATTCCTTGATAAATGTTCTATTATATTACAATCATATATTATAATATATTAGTTCAATAGGTGGGTGTATTTTCAGGTCACATTTTATGCTGATGTATGGTGTTACAATAATGGATTTTTTTATTTTTTACAATACATACCAAATCAAACCAAAAACCCGAGACTACAGAACTTTGATACAAACCGAATCTGCAATTTTTTGAACCTTATATATGAAATGTGTCTACTTCTAGCTGCTATTTTTTTCTTATGGAGTGCTTAGAAATGGTGTAAATGTGCAGTCTGCTTTATCCATTTCTGAACTGAAAGGCTCTGGCTCAAGTAAATTGATAGCTTTTCTCAATCTCTCAAATTCTGGGTTCAAATGTGTAAGAAGACAGATGGAGAGTTGTGCCTCACCTCTTTCTCTAGGATGACCCTCTCTTCTTGGAGTTGCTGTATGTTACTGTGAGCCTTGTTCAGCTCTAGTGTTTTCTGCCGCAGCTCCTGCAAGGTGTACTGCAGCTGTGCCTCTGCTGTCCTGCGTTCCTGCAGTAACTGCTGCTGCCTCTGAGAGGAGCTCTCATGAATATGTTGCATCTCCTTCTCTTGCTCTTTAACACGCTCCTGCAGCACCGACAATTTCTCTTGGAGCACCTGTGTGGCTGAATGAATGACAGCGGGAATCTAGAGTGATAAATGTAAAGACATGAAAATACAGTTTGCATTAAATAAATAAATAAATAAATATTTGATGACTGCAACTACATACATCTGTATTTCCATCAGGGGCATTGCTAGGGTCAAAAGGGATAAGGGGCTTAGCCCCCTCCCACCCCCCGAATAGTTATTTTATTTTACCAAAACTACAGACATGTTTTACTATGAAAACAAATATTAAGCTTCATCAGTAGTTAGAACTATTCAGTTTTGCGAAACAGTTGTATTACCTCATTAGCATCAGCTCCTCAAAATAATGAATGAATTATGATGACGGGATTTTGTGACAACAGTGCCATTCCCACCTGCCGGTAGAAACAGGTACTGCTGAATAGCTGACTAATTACATGACACAAACGCTGCGTTAAGTGGAGCGCGTGATGTAAATGTTAATTTTAAGGACTTCGATATCAAAATAAATGTTTTTTTTTTTTTTTTTTTTAAGTGCAACATATTCCAAAAGATCAACGGCTTTTGACATTACATCAGTGGCTTAAGCCCCCAAAGCCCTCCCCCTCGCAACCCCACTGACTTCCATATCATCCTTCTGACTACACTTCAGAGAAATTTTAGATAAGATGTAGTCTTAAAAAAGAAACCTCTTTCCTCTTTCCTTTCAGATAAAAAATTCATATGTGAAATGTTTATTTATTGTATTTATGTTAAGTCCAATATAGCTATGAATGTAAAAAGCAATGCTAAGCACAAATAGTAAAGATCTGATTTGCACTATGTGCAAAAAAAAAAAAAAAAAGTTAGGTGGAAATAGCACTATAGTACTAGGTGGAAATAGCACAATTACAATATGTAGACATTAGGCAGAGATAACATTTAAACCAAGCACAATAGTGACAGATGTCATTTACACAATTGAGGATTATGCTACTTACACTAAATAAATATACAGTATTATATATTTGTACTATATGTAAAAAAAAAAAAAAAAAGTAGTTTTATTTCCAATAAGTGTATTTAGATGCTATTCTTGGTGCAAATAGACAGTTGCACCTCAGTAATAATGCTACATTCTAAAAAAGAAAAATAGTATATAGTGCGGGGCGGCACGATGGTGCAGCGGGTTGCACTATCGCCTCACAGCAAGAAGGTCACTGGTTCAACCCCCGGTTGGCATTTCTGTGTGGAGTTTGCATGGTCTCCTCGTGCTGGCGTGGGTTTCCTCCTTGTGCTCCGGTTTCCCCCACAGTACAAAGTAATGCGCTACAGGTGAATTGAATGAACTAAATTGGCCGTAGTGTATGTGTGAAAGAGGCGGTTCATTCCGCTGTAGCAACCCCGGATTAATAAAGGGACTAAACCGACAAAAAAAATTATAATAAACTAGTGTAAATCAGATTATCAATCAAACTGATGCTACCTTAAGACAACCCTACTATAATTTACTTTGGCTCTTATTCAGGTAAAACTAATACCTTTGTAATCTGTTATGCGATGCGTAGGCCCACATGGTATCTGCGCAGAAATCCGCAATCTTCGCAGATTTTTAGCCCATCGACTTGTGTAAATGTGTGCAAATGTATATTTATTCAGTTTTTATTCATTTTACGGATAGCATTGTAATATAATAATAATAATAATATTATTAAAATGTTCATATGATTTATTTACAATACAGTTTTTAAAGTATTTTTTTCTGTCTTTTAGTAGAGATATTATATAAGAGACTTGCTTTGTTTAACAAATAAGTGCATCTAATTGGATTTGCATTGTACTGTAAATATTATGGCCCAATGCCAATTCTATTTTTGTATCCCTACCCCTTCCCCTTTCCCCTTTGCCCTTACAACCAAGGTTTAAGGGGAAGGGCTTCAAAATGTACCCCTAAGAATTGGGACAGCACTACAGTACCTGCACACGTCATTATATGTCCTCACGATTTCTTGCTTCATATGAGATCAGACGATCGCCACTGCTGGAGTAATTCCAGTTGTGTTATTCTTTGGTATTTATCTACAGGAAATCACCAAAGGCATATATAATGTCATAATATCTATAATGGTAGAATTGGGATTGGCCCTAAATAAAAGGTAAAAATGTATTATTTGTTGATCTCAGAAATTAAGTTTTTAGTTATGATAGTCCTAAAACCATTCCGCATAAATCTGGTGTTTTTTTTTTTTACTAAATTATCTGCATAAACAGCAAAAAATGTCCGCAGATTCTGTCTGGACCTATAGCCATGAGTAGCAAAAAACCAATATGTATATATATTCATCTTTGGAATGACAGATACAAGTCCTGCACAGTGGCCAGAAAGATTTTGAGCCATTCTTCATGCAGAATAGTGGCCAGGTTACTATGTGATACATTTCTTGACTCAATCCTCCAAAATACCCCAAAGTAGCTTCATGATATTTAGCTATGGTGACTGTGCTGGCCACAGGAGATGTTCACAGTCATGTTGATCAAACCACTCTGTCACCAGTCTTACTGTGTGTATTGGTACATTATCAGCCTGACACACAGCAAGACCTTCAGGATACAATGTTTGAATCATTGGGTGCACATGGTCCTCCAGAATGGTTTGGTTGACCATGGTAGTCACGTGCCCATCTAGCACAAAAGAATGCCATGATATTATGAGACAAACCATCACTGATCCACCCCTATGCTTCGCACTGGGCATGCAACAGTCTCTGCAGGTGCACTTCTTTGGGGCTTCAAACAGTCTAAGATACACAATTAATTCTGCATTGAGTTGGGTAACTTGGTGCTATGCTGACAATATTCTGGATACTGTGGATCTTAATACATCATAAGGACTTGCTGTATTGTTCACTATGCATCAAGATATAAGAAGGGGCCACAATTAAAAGATGCACCTCCCTAACAGATAGACACTTGGTTAGCTAGTTAGTTAGCATGTTTGTTTTGACATCCCAGCAACCTGTCCTGAAGCACTGTCCCCATCCAAAATTCGCTACCCATAACAGACTTGCCAAGCAAACCCTCGCTATGGCATGCAGACAGACAAAACCTCTCAACATCATTTCTGGACCAATAGAGCTGCCTTCACTGATCTTCCTCTGGCTACACACACACACACACACACACACACACACACACACACACACACACACACACACACACACACACACACACACACACACACACACACACACACACACAGTATCAGGCTAGAAAGGACAGACAGTAATCAGAAATTTCTGGGAGAAAGACATGGACACAGACACATGGAGCAGTAGATTAAAATGGGGCAAACATTAAACGCTGTTAAAGTTAGTATACTGGACTAAATCAATAATCATCTATTTTTTTTGATATTGAAATATGAAACAGCATTATTTTCTGCTCACAAATTAGATTAATTACTCAAGAAAATAAAAACTTATTGCTGTGGAATTGTTTATACATTATTCTATTCTTGAGTTGAAAAAGTAAGGCTTAAGTAAGAGATAAAAAATATTGTCTCTGTTATGGTTTAATAATCGATGTACCAGAGAGTTAAATAATTAGTCCAGTGGGAAACTGAGAGCGTGACTTGAGTCTTGTGTTCATGTACCCCAAGCTAGTCAAACATGTTTGTTCTTGTCCCAGGTTTATATTAAATATAATCAAATAAGGATGTCCAAGAAGACATTTTGATACTAAATTTGAAACTATGGTGAAGTACTTCGGTTTCCTTTTCTAAATCTTGGTAACCTTGACATATTTGTTGTAATATAGTTTTTGCTTCACAAAATAAATCGACTCATTGATAGTTATTGACACCCTGTAGATGAACTATTACTCAGATCAGCAACATTACTGTCCCACGATCAAGACATGGAGGTCACATGGGAGTGCCAGACATCAGCTGTTTGTACCTTGTTTTGTTGTTGCTGGATTTCATTCTGGTATTTGTTAAGCAGCTCCAGGTTTTTCTGTCTTTGAATGTCTAGCTCAATATGAGCTTCTCTTCTTAACTCTGTCTCTCGCTGTTTCAGCTGTTTATCCTGCTCAGCCTGTTTCTGCTGGAGAAAAGCCTCCATCTGTGTGCAGAAAATAAAGGTTAAATAAGGGATGAGGTCAAATAAAGTTTAGAAGTTGCATGAGAATTAGGTTGTTATTTGAGCAGTTAAACCATAAACTGAAGTTCAGTTCAGTTTAATGAAGCTATAGTTACATCAAATCCAATGTATTTCGGCCATACTAGAAAGTGCAGTGCTGTTTCTACACATATAAATATGGTTTTCATTAAATGAAATAAAGCTGAATTAGAATAAAAATAAACATTACATGAAACATGTTATATTCGTCTGGTTTTCTTATTAGTGATGCAAATGACAATCAGTATACAATTTTCAAGTCATCAAAGGTATAATTTGAATTTTATTGAACTTACATACCAATGATAAAAGTAGGTATTTTTATGGATCATAAAGAAATGAAAATGGTAATTTGTTGAATTTGCTGCACTAGGTCACATTTATTCAAATCAAATGCCAATTTAATCATAAACATCCAAAGAGGGTAGTGACCACTCTATGAGTTTCTTTCCTTTTTTGCCCATAGCATGCAATGCCACAGAGGTATTATTTACACCTTAAGATGGTGCATTGTCAGGTTCAAATATCTGTTTGCTGCTTTGTAATGTCAATTAAGGAGCTGCATTTTCAGAATATGATCATGGTTAATGTTTTTGTTTATATACCTTATGCTTTCATATCATGTCCAAGGCATTGCACTATTTAATGCTTTTCAGCTGCAAAGAGATTCAGTTTCTTACCCATATTGCTTGAAACCTGAGGTCTTCATAAAAACATGGAATGTCCTTCTTAAGTAGTTTTCCTTTAATTGGGCTCACCTAGCAATCTAATTATCACAGGGGTCTGATTTTAGTTATTGAAAGAGCACTGCGACAATTCACCTAATTCTCCGCCGACGAGTAGGCGCTGCCATTTGAATCTTTTTGGCTTGAGACTTCCGGTCTCATTCACTTCCATTAATTTTTTGACGTTAAAAACTGGTTGCTACGCTGCTTGTTGTTACAATTGGATATTTTCTTATTATAATATTCTACTTGGTCTGTATAGTCATGCAAACATTTGTTTGTAGAGCAAGTTTGTCCGTTTTCTGCCATTTATTATTCCTAGTCATTTCTCCCATAGGCAACTGAATCGGAAGTTCTAAGACAATCGCGAAAACAGGTGCCCTTCCGCATTTTAGAATAAGGTCAATACCAGCCATGACTTTAATTGAAACACTTGAAAAAATATGCATAATAATTTGGAACACAGTGGAGAGTGCTTTCTAAAAAAGGGGACACTAAACGGTCCGTGGGTGCCATCTTTCGGATGAGACGATAAACCGAGGTCCAGACTCTCTGTGGTCATTACAAATCCCATCCTCATAAAGAGTAGGGATGTTCTGGCTAAATTCCCCTTCGGCCCTTAACCATCATGGCCTCCCAGTCATCTCTATCCACTGAACTGGCTCTATCACTGTCTCTCCACTACGCCTATAGCTTGTGTGTGGTGATCGCACATGCATACATATATATTAGGGTTGGGCGATGTCGACCAATTTGCCATCGTATGATGTCTATCCGGCCGTGAACACACATGCCCTAGATGTTAACAAGATGCTAAATATGTCTGATGTAATGTGATCTTTTAGCTCAAAATACCACACAAATAATGTTTTATAACTATTTTAAATTACTTGTTTTAGACTGTAATCCAAATTGTGCCATTTTGGTGTCTGTCACTTTAAATTCAAATAAGATTGTGCTCCTTTCAAAAGGGGGCGAGCTACAAACACCTGTGCATCAGCATAGCAGCAGATTAAAAACAGCACTTACGTTATCTCTGTGAAAAACTGAAAATATGAAAAGAAGCGTCTCAAAAGAAAGAGACAACAGTGTTCATCTAAAACTTCACATTTTAATGCTCTTAGTCGCTGAGCAGGTGATAACTCTAATGGAAGACGGCTGTTTCTCACGCAGGGCTGTTAATGCTATCGAGGGAAAGATCATCACTAATTTTCATTTATTTTTGGCTAAATTCACACACTGTTGCCACATTACAATGATTAAATCACTTATAAAAGTGATTTTTGCATAACAGGTCTACTTTAATAAGTGGATTGTGGTCATACCATAGAAGATTCGTACTTTGTAAGTATAAAAACAAAACATCGCACTAGCAAGGAAATGTATATGCTTGTCTGTGAGGCTGAAGACATCGAAAGAACTCTGGATTTCACCAAGGCATCCTTAGGTGAAGAAGGCTTGGGAGGAGGTAGTGGTATTTATATTTATGTTAACATTTAACTTTGCTTATGTTTTTGTTACTTTACATTTTAATCCTTTCATTTCTTATAGTTAAAGACATTGAACTTTTTAAACTGCAGCTCTGCTTTGTTTGGTGGTGGAGTTTTGGTTCCTTGCCACTTGATTTGCACTGTCCTTTATGTACATGCTGAATTCTTACATAACACAATATTTTTTTTGCCACTGAAAAATAGCACAGTAAAACATCTAACAGGACAAAATGACTACAAAATCCATCTATCCTTTTTCATAACGGTTAATTTAATCCTCGTGTTGTGAGAAAAAAAAAATCAAATAAAGCTGGCTGTGCCATTCTCTCTGACTGCACTCTGTCATATCAAAGACAGGGTTTACTGTGGTTTTTGAAATATTGAACTGTCAGCAACTGAATAAAATGGTTAGAGCAATTACAAACAACAAAGAGGGGGATGGTGACATGCCATATATTTTTAGTCGGCCATGACCAAGGCCACCATGTTTTTTTGTGGAGCCCAGAGTGCAGACAGAGTTCGTGTGAGAGAACCAATAGTGTTTATGTAGTGTGAAACAGCATCTATGTGTGTGTTTGACAGCAAGAGACCACTTCCACCTAGACTTGGATGCATTACTGTGTTAATGGCAGGAAACCGGCGAGTCTTAAATGTGATTTGCACTAAATCAAACAGCATTCCACTTAATACTAGCGTGCTGAGGGTAGACCACAGCCCACAAATATACAAATGAATACAATTTCAATAATAAGAACAAAAAAAAAAGAAATAAACTGAACTTCAGACAGAAGGAAAAGAGAGAAAATGTGCTGCTTTTAAGTGGAATAGTGTTAAAATTCCTAGAGTAGTATGTTAGGCAACTTAGCTTATTATGATATTTTGGTGGACTTGTGAGGCATTTACATTAATCTATTTCACTGGTCAACTTTCCGTTTTTGACCAACAATATAGCTGTTGTTCTGAGTTTTGGCTGATGACTTAGCACAGCACTTGATGTGGAAAATTGGAAACTTGGAAATAAGGCGATTGATTTGGAATATGGTTCAGGAGCAATATAACCCTCAACTTAGCGTTGCCATCACATTTTTCCAAGATACTAGTATTCAGCTTGAAATGTAATTTAAAGGTCTATTCCAGCTAAAACAAGACCTTCTTAAAAAGAAAGAACTTATAGGGAATACTGACAACGCTGTTCTTATTTTGTTAAACATTTGGTAAATATTTGAAATTTAAAATGAGGATATGTACCAATATAAACTTTTTAGATATAAATGTGTGAGAAAGCTGCCGTACCTTTATTTCTGAGATTGATTTAATATTTTTTCTCACCTTCACAAGCAACACCAACAAAAATCATTAATTCAAAGAAAATCCCATTATTTTTGGTTCCATCAAAGTAAACACATTTGGACCTCCCGCATGCTTTAATTCTCCACTAAAGTCTAGTATACTTAATAGGGGTCTGCGAGTTACTCAAATCAAATGATGTGAACACCGGAGACTTACCATTAAACGTGTTTCATAAATCAAAATAAACATGACAAAGCAATCAATACATCATGGAATTGACTAAGAATAACAAGTTTCAATTTGTGACTGTCCACACCTTTAAACTGTGCTCTTCTGTAGCTTTCAGCCTGCTTCTAAAGCTCTCCTCCAGTCTCTCCAATTCTCCCATGTGTGTTTTCTGCAGCTCCTCTCTGTGAGAAAATAATGGCTACTGTAAATTCACTAACAAAAGGCTATGTAATTCAACAGAACATACAGGCAGCTTTAATTATAAAATAACCCTTATACAGTTGAAGTCAAAATTATTAGCCCCTTCTAGGATTTTTTTTCTTTCTTTTTTAAATATTTCCCAAATGATGTTTAAGGGAGCAAATAAATTTTCACACTGTGTCTGATACTTTTTTCTTCTAGACAAAGTCTTATTTTATTATTATTTTTTTATTTCAGCTAGAATAAAAGCAGCTTTACATTTAAAAATAAAATAATAATTTAAGGTCAAAATTATTAGCCCCTTTAATATTTTTTTCGATAGTCTACAGAACAAACCATACTTGCCTAATTACCCTAACCTGCCTAGTTAACCTAATTTACCTAGTTTAAGCTCTCTAAAAGTGTCTTGAAAAATATCTAGTCAAATATTATTTACTGTCATCATGGCAAAGATAAAATAAATCAGTTTTTAGAAATGATTTATTAAAACTACTATGTTTAGAAATGTGTTGAAACAATCTTCTCTCCGTTAAACAGAAATTAGGGAAAAAATAACCAGGGTAATATTTCAGGGGGTTTAATACTTCTGACTTCAACTGATATGTCACTAAGCAAATTGTAAAACGCAAGGACCATTAAATGTCTTGTCTAACTCTGACTCATGCTGTCATACCTGCCAGAACCACTATCTGACTACTGTGTTTAATATTAAAGGTAAGAAAAAAAGAATAAAATTAGACTATAAGGATAAAAGTTTTTTTTTTTAATAAAAATAAGAGAAACTTTTTAAAAAGCCACAGTGACACATTTACTGTGATACATTTATGAGCAAGCATATTTGTCTGTGTTTGATCCAGTTGTTATGGAAACATACTTGTTATTTTTGTTAATTGTCTCATGTCATAAAACATTCTTATATAAAACTATGACTAACGCTGGTCTGCAGCCTTAGGGCTAAAGAGAAAATGAAGAAGAGAAAAAATAGGGTCAATGAAGCCAGACACTGTAATGAGCACTTCACAACAACTGCTAATTCTAGCTGAACAAATTTATAATTCACACAAGCTGTCAAAAAAAGATGGACATGCATATATTGAAAATGTTTACTTGGAAACACAGTACAGTTGGAAATACAGTTCATAATATATTACATTAAATGCAAAATGATTAGCTCTCCTGTAAATATTTTATTCTTTTTCAAAAAATTCCTTAGTGCTGTTTAACACAATGAACAGGACCCTTTTTAAAAATGCTATTTTTTTAATAACTAGTTACTTATTTATTTTGTCTGATACTGATATCTAGTACATGATATTGTACTAGATATTTTGCAAAATTTTAGTATTCAACTTAAAGTACAATTTAAAGGAATTAATTAGGTTAACTAGGTAAGTTAGGTTAATTAGGCAAGCCATTGGTTTTTATTGAAAATAATCATAGAAAAAAAATATGTGGCTAATAATATTGACCTTTGCTTCAGACAGAAATCATAAACAAATATTTGTAAGCATAAATAAAACATACAGTATTTATGTTTTTTACTATATTATTGTATTCATACTGCTGTATTTTATCAGTGGTGTAAAGTAACACATTTCTGTACATATACTTAAATTACTGCAATTGAGTATTTTTTTTTTTTTATCAGGAAAATACTATACTAAGTAGTTTTTAAAAAAATGCATACTTTTAATTTCCCTTGAGTACATTTTTAGTGATGTATGGGTACTTTTACTCCACTATTTTCCTTCAACCTGCAGTCACTACTTTATTTCTTTCTTGTCTATGGTGATTGGCTAAAGTAGAAAAATCAGTCCTGTGAATCCTCCAATCAAATCGCACATAAAAAGTAAATCACAACATACTGAACAACCTCAATAGATTATAAATGCAGCAAACCTTATAAAAGCAATATAAATGTCCAAGAAGATGTCCAAAATCTTTACACGCAAGGAAGGAACGAACAAACAAACGAAGGACTTAATGAAGAAAGAAACAAAAATATGAACGAAAGAACGAATGAATGAACAAACGAATGAAAGGAGGAATAAAGCAAGGACCAAATGAATGAATGAAGGAAGGAATGAACAAATGAATGAAGGAAGGACAGAACAAACAAACAATGGAAGAAAGGTTTTAAGGAACAAACTAATATAAGATCACTAAATGGACTACAGAATATTACGCTTACACATCCCTGCACGAACTGTATTTTTAACAGCATAATACTCAATTCTCACTACTCTTGTGTACTTTTAAAAGGGCAAATTTTTACTCATACTTCAAGTAATACCTACAACAGACACTTTTACTGTACTTGTACCACATTTTTGGGCAAGTAATGGCACCTTTACTTTTTTACACCTTTGATTTTTATTCATATTAATATATTTGTTAAGCATAATTCCAGATTTCGACAACACCACATTATTGTCAGAAGTGTCAATTTTTCTGAAATTGTTGTGTAGTGGACAAGAAACATGCATTCTGCAAATGGTTTACTGACCATTCATTGCTTTATATCTAACATTGTTGTCAAACATTTTAATTTCAAAGAAAACATGCTAGTTTATTTATTTATTATTATTATTATTTTTTTTGCCAGGATATTTTGAAATGACACACAATATGAAAAAAAAAATAAAATGTTTATGTCCTAATGGCCACCACAACACTCTACATGAGCTCATATTTTACAGATATATTTTAAAGAAAAGCTTATTTCAAAAAATGTAAGAAAAACAGAAATATTAAATACATATTCTAAAAAAAGTCCTCATTATTACCCCCATATATTTAATATTGCCATGCACAGACAGTAAACATGGCTAACAGACAAGACATCAGATGCTTTTTTTTTTCCTTTCCTGTTTGTCGAGAGTTTAAAACTGTGATTACACTTTGACTCATCTTGGTTGTCAAAGCCTTTGAAAAGCTCTTCTGCTATTAGCCGAGACAGACAGTGAAGATATGAGAAACGCGGGTGACTAGACAGACAGTTGGCAGAAATTCCATTTTTACAACACATTCCTCTGTGGCTCAAACATTCCTCCCATGAGACATAAACTGTGACTCCGTAGACAGACTACTTCCATACTGAATTGGTGAAGACTGAGACGTACACAAAAACAAACAGCTCAGGAGAAACATCAAAGTCCCAGCAGACTGACTGGATCAAATTGCCACATACAGTACCAACATTCCTACATCCACTTACCCTGACCTTACGTTTCTTTGAGATGATATTCAGAACATTTTAAACCTCAAAGGAACACTCTGCTTTTTGGAAATAGGCTGATTTTACAAGTCACTTAGAATTAAACAGTTGAGTTTTACAATTTTTGAATCCATTCAGCCGAACTCTGAGTATAGTGGGAAAACTTTTAGCTTAGCTTAGCATTCATCATTAAATCGGATTAGACCTTTAGCATCTCGCTTTAACAGGGAAAATAATCAAAACTCTTCTTTTGAGCTTCACTCTTTTTTAGTTACATTATGTATTAAGACCAACAGAAAATTAAAATTTCCTAGAACTATACTCTTATCCTGGTATAATGGACTCTGTTGATGTAGGCTACCATGCCTGCAGCAATGATATTACAGTGCTGTTACCTAGTTACAGCTGGGGACTATTTTCAGATAGTGCATAATATCATTGTGCCTATTGCAGCCTTGTATAACAAAAAAGCCATTTGATGATTATCCCAGAATGAAAGTATAGCTCCTAGGCATGTCATCCTAGAAAATAACTATACTTTACGATAAACTACACTAGTCCACAATGTAACTACAGAATAGTGAAGCTTTCAAATGGAAAATGATCAAATGTTTTTTTTTTTTTTTTTTTTTTTTGAGTGAGATGATAATGGTCTAATCCGATTCAATGAAGTATGAAAAGCTAGGCTAAAAAGTGCTCCCGCTATGGTAAAACAGTTTAACTGTAGGTGATTTGAAAAATAAGCATATTTGAAAAAAAAAAAAAAAAGTTGAGTGTTCCTTTAGATATGGTGGATAACATGACATGGATGACATGGTGGCACAGTGCACTCTCCTAAATAAAGGTACAGAGCAGTCACTGAGGCAGCACCTTTTCAAAAGATACATATTTGTTACCCAAAGGGTCCACAGTGCATATCAGTGCCCAAATGTACCTAAAAAGTACCTTTGAAGTACCATTATGGACCCTTCAGTTACAAATATGTACCTTTTGAAAAGGTGCTGCCCCAGTGACAGCTCCTGTATCTTTATTTCTGGGAGTGTGGGTAGCGCTGTCGCCTCACAGCAAGAAGGTCACTGGTTCAAGCTCTGGTTGGGTCAGTTGGCATTTCTGTGTGGAGTTTGCATGTTCTCCTCATGTTCACATGGGTTTCCTCCGGGTATCCCAGACAGTCCAAATACATGCACTATATGAGTAGGATATTATATGAATTGTAAGTAGCGTATGTGTGTATGTGCCTGGTCCTCCAAGTTGGGGGTTGAGCATTGGGCCAACGGCACACCTTGTGAAAATTAGATGTTACAAAACACCAACATGGTGCAACTAAATATCAGTTTCAATATAAACGGCCCTATAAGTAAGTAAGTTTCTTTAAATGAGTATAACATGCTTAAAATAACTGCAGTATGTGTTAATAAAGGTTGGCATAATTCCCCCGAGAGAGAGGAAGTCACACGGAGAGGAAAAAGAGAGCAAGCAAAAGATTCCAAGTATATTCTTTTTTTTCCCCCTGTTTAAAGAGAGAGGGAATGTTTCATCTTGCCGGTCTGATGGTTTACGTGCCATGAGGCAGCATATTATTAATGTTAGATAGGTTGAGACTGACAGACACGCAGTTCTCTGACAGCAGTTGTGCAATGGCTCTCGGGAGAAATGGCCTATAATGGGGATGTCTGAGGGAAATGGCTCTCAGAAACACAAGTGTTAAATAGGCCTGGTCTGGAATGTCCACACTTCACTGCACTTGTGCCATCAAATCAATGG